TTTTTTTTTTTTTTTTTTTTTTTTTTTTGGTTTCTTCTGATTTTTCCACATTATTGGGCTCATATTTTCGTCGGTTTTTAATTATTTATTTTTCCCTGATCTTTGACCAAGTCCGCTCATCAAATCCGGTGCCGCTCTGCAAAACCATACCCCTTTTGTTTTCACACCCAATCTCTTCTTCCCAAATGGGATTTTGCTTTGCTTCTTAATCACATCCATTACCATTAATCTCCCAATTAATATTCTTTATGTTGCTTTTTTAGGGAGCTGATTTGAGGTATAGCATAAATTAGCTTGACTTATGAAGGATGTTTACTTTAGTCGGGATCATTTTGTTCAAATCCAACACGTGTCCGGAGACTTGTTGAGTTTGATAGATATGCTTGTGTAGAAATTGAACGAGTCCACTGATTTGTTGAGTATATGATGCCGACAGCTCATGTTTATGGTGTGCTATTTAGTGTCACAATTGTACTCTTGTGGCGTGGAGACAAGGATTGTACAACACTTGTTCAACAATGAGAAAATTAAACTTCATAGACAATTTTGACGTATGATCAAACCTTGGGTCACATTTGACAAAAAAAATATTTTATGAGAAAATAATTTGAGATAAAAGCAATGTTATAGGCTAAAAGTGAACGAGCAACAATTGTAGCTTTGATAACATATAACCTAGATAATAATAATTGACAACTAGTCATATTCTCTATAGTACATTCTAAGACATTTTAGTCCTGACAGGTGTAGACATCATTTTGGTGAACGATCATACACCTTCGTATTGATATAATAAGAATAGTAAATACCTAACTAATATGAAAGGAAGTAAAAAAAGTTTGAAACGAGCATATGACCATGAATAACATGGATGAGAGCGATTTTGAGGATATGACAACTAAGAAAAGCTCAAAAAAAAAAAAAAAAAAAAATTGAAAGTAACCGAAGTAATCAAAAACTCTAGACAAAATTACTAAAACCATAAAGTTTTCTTAAAATAGGATGTGGATATTTACTTTATTAATTGCAGCTTTGTGACAAGGAAAATGCTTTGCCTGCACATAAAATAAAAAGAACATAAGACCAAAATAAATAGAACAGAACAAAACATGAATTAAGATTTAGACCCTACCCAGAAAATTTTCCAGCTGAGAACTGGTTTTATGTATGCAAAGGTTGTCCTGTTTTTGTTTTAGCTAACCCGACAGGCGTCTATCTCGAACATGAACTGACATGTCTTTTATGCGAGTCTGGTGCTAGGCATCGTCGAGCTATTCCTAGAGCGAAAACAATTACATCTCTGCTAATGGAGAATCCAAAATGAAATCGTTGAAAAATACACATAACCGAAGGCATACCATATCTTGCAGATTATTTTCAATGTCAAAACACCCTTGCGCACCCGGTTCCCTCGGGTTAAGCTGTCCTAGGGACTAAAGGATAAGGAATATATTAAGTCGACGAATCGAACTGTGTCGTATAATGATCTAGCATTGGTTACTGAATCAAAGACTAGTACCTGAATAGTTTGTCTATCGTCACGTGGACCAACACGAGCTTCAACCGGAGGAGATTGATCCTGAAGAATCAGAAAGTCGAACTAAGGTTCTTATTTCTTAAAGAACATTGTGATCCCAAGTATCATCAAGCATACCAAATTCTGCATAGCTTGAAGACTATAATAACCTTCAGGTCCATCACAGAAAGGCGAATTTGTGCAGCCATCGAGTGCAGCCGCTCTCGAATCGACTTCCTGCACGAATGTACAAACCCAGAGGAGAGAATTTGTAAGAACAATACCATTTACAATGAAAACACTTTGCACGAATTCTAGCACAACTGCATCGAACATACCGCCTCCGACGATTTGTACCGTGCCTGCTTGGTGATCTGATAGGCAGAAACAGGAGAGTATACAGATGTTTAGTACAAAATACACAAGATAGAGACTATACAATGCTCTCTAGCCAGAAGCACGTACCGACTCACCTTGCCTTTTTTGATCGTTTTCTTTTTACGAGACGACTTGGCCATATCTTCGCCACGATCATCTTCTTCAACGTCAACAAAACCAACAGAAACCATACTTGTTTCTGCAAAGCTCTTGTTAGAATTGTTCACAAAAACACACTGTTTCAATACGTCCTCTAATGCGTCAAATGCAATATCATATGTTTCTTGAGATAAAGACCCGACTTCACTTAGTCTAATAGCTTGTTTGCAGAGGTGGTTGAAACGCACCACTCGGTAATGAAGTCGATTTGGCGATTCACTAAGCCTGACTTTTGCACTTCTTGTCCAACGTTTCAAAATATATTTCTGTGGGATGCTCGTTACACCAGAAACCTGAAGAACAAGGATAGCATGTCTGCAAAGGATGCCTCTATGCTCGAAAGAACGGCATCGACAATGTATATCCAATTCTGCTTTATTCCAAGCTACCAGGAACTTCTGCTGCTCTTCCAGATCATCAACTTGGTATGTTACAATAGCTCCATCTTCGGTTTGTTCGTGCACTCGACATGAAGCTGCACCCACTACCTCCAACTGGAATTTCTTAAATATCGTCGTCACGTAGATGGTCGCCATTTGTTGCTCGAAAGGAGAGAGAGATTTCAAGGCAGGTTCTTGGTGCCGAGTTTCAACATCAGCATCAGCTTCCAACTCGAGCATATCTTTGGAGAAAATCTCAGAGCGTTCAACAAACTCCTTGAACATAGTTTCTTTACTTATATAATTGTCAAAAAACGAAGCCACGCTCCCTGATCGATCACTCGTACACATTCCAGCCAAAAAATAGTTCTTCACATATGCTGGCACCCATTTCTTATGATCATCAAACAGTAACTGAAGCCATTCATTCTCCTTTACTTCAAATTTCTCAACCATTTCCCACCATTTCTTTTCAAATTCTTCATCCCTCCAAGATCCATAAATGCATTTATCAAAGCTTTCCATAAAATTTCTGTTCTGATCTATAATCTTTCCTAGTTTTTCACGAACTCTTGTTAGTATTTGCCACAAAGAGAACAAATGGATTGCCTTGGGAAATACATCTGCAACAGCTTCTTTCAAGAACGGTTCTCGATCGGTCAAGACCACGCTTGGAGCAGGACCACCCACCGCTTTGAGCCACGTCTTCATTAACCAAATAAAACTTGAAGTAGCCATATCACCAATCAGTGCACCTCCAAACAGGACATACTGAAAATGATGATTGACTCCAACAATAGGAACAAAAGGAATTTGATATCCACTGCTTATGTAATGAGTATCAAAGAAGATCACATCACTAAAGTCCTTGTAATCATGCCTTGCTTTTGCATCCACCCACAAGACACTTCTCAGCTGTTTTTCTTGGTTGAAATCTACAGCATAGAAGAAATTGGGATTCATTTCTTGCATATGCATAAAATGCTCGAGCATCAAATGGACGTCTCCCTCGTCTAGAGCCAACTGCAAACCGTTCTTCTCAGAAGCAACGATATCCGGGTTTTTGTTCTTTCCCTTTAAAGCATAATGGAAATCATCAGGACAAATCTCATGGTTATGCTCTCTTATAAAACCGTGAACAAACCATTTTCCATCTTCCCTTTTCTTGATGTGTATGCTAGCATCACAACCCGTCTTCATACACGGTCTAGGCTTGACGGTCGTAGTCGACTCTCGCTTGCTTCCAAATCGAGAGCAAGCAATCTTAATGTCTATGAACTTTCCAGATCTTTTAGAGCGTCTGCTTGCTTTTATTGTGATGCCAAATCCCACAAATCTAGCATATTCTCTATAAAATGAATATGCTTCTTCCTTCGACTCGAACTCCAAGCCGATTTTCGGTTCAAATGCTGGCCCCATGATGTGATTTATTCCCACATTAACGATAACCATCTGATCCCGAACACTACTAGTTTCGGTATTTGGAATTGACATTCCCTGACTTAGCTCAGCCCTTGTAGGAGAATTTGCAGCCCTTCCCTCACCATGTGTCTGATCCAAATCCATGCCATCATTTTTACTCTCAATGATGCCTAACCTTTCTTGATCACTGGAAGGCAGCTCAAGGTCTATATCCATGAGGAAAATGTAAAATATTGAATAGGCCCCTGAGAGTACACAAGGATGAGGCTCTGTAGCTATCAAGTTCTTGAAGAAGCAGAAATAATTTACATTGTGATACAGATCTCAGCTATTGATCTACTATTGTAGATCAAGGAACTTGGAGTTTTGATATCTGTTCATAGTTCATGCTTATACAGCTGAAGAATTTCTCAATTTTTAATTTCCATACTCCGAAATCCCTAAGTTCTGAGTTTCAAATCCACAATACGTTCTTATATAAACTTGAATTGCATCAAGTCTAGCAGCAAGAACAAGTAAAATCAAGAAGTAGATATACAAAAGCACATCGAAAGGCCATAAGAAACGAAATGCCGCGACATAATGAGATTCAGTTTACAAATCGAAGCCTCAGATGAAAAGAAGAAACGCAAGAACCCTAATAAGTTGAAATTCAGGAATCAATTACCTCGGAAGGGGCGAGACCAGGTGATGCGGCGCTGCAGAAATTAAAACGAACTAACAAAAGAAGAAAAATCGACGGGAGATTCCATTGCCTCCGAGGCTTAATTCGAAGCTCTTTTGCCTTTCTCCTCTATTTCTATCAGCGAGTCTCGCCGGATTTTCATCGCTTTTCGCCGGAAAGATGAACGGAGCAACCAATCCGGGCTATTGCCGAATAAGCTCCATTTGGGTCGGATCCAGAAGAAAAATTAAACACGTCCGTCATTCTACGAATGGATAATTTTAATCAAAATGTATATATACAAAAAAGTGTACTAAATTCGTAATTTATATAAAAATAATTACAATTAACTGACTAATCAAGCAACTTTACAGATTAATAGCTAAAATTTGCGTTTTCGTGACAAAATCATTCATAAAATAAACTGTTCTACAAATAGATATGTAACCGACCGAAAGCATCTTCTTCATATAGAGGAAGTTGCTCATGAACTGCTCTTTCTTTCTTTGCTTGCACAGCAGCAACATCTTGAGTGCTTGGCCTAGAACAAGAAATGGGGTTCAACCATCTGCTTCGTACGATCATCAAACCCAAGGTTTCAGATCACTACCCTTTTCTAATTTGATCATCTTGCTTTCTCTTCTGTGTTTTTGGTTGATCCATTTTTTTTCTGGAACTTTCTGCGAATAATGTTTATGGTGTTTTTGAATGGTGGGGTATTGAACTCTGTAGTTTAGAGATTTAATCTTTTGGCAGAGGGGGATTTGTTGGAAGTATGATCTTGAAGAGGCGACTTGTCTTCTTTTATATGCATTTATCTCCCCCGCCATTAGAGAACACCATGATAGCTTCCTACCCTGTGGAATACATGGAAGTTGCATTTATTTCATGTCATTTCCAAAGCTCAACCGTACAAATTAGTGAAGGATATAACTATATAGAGCTGTTTGGAGAGATAAAGGGGAAGTAATCCTTAATTATTTTATGGTATGGATCTCAAGTTGGTTGGAGAGGGGAACGAAACATTCCTTATACAGTGTGGAAACCTTTGATTGTTTTAAAACCTTGAGGGGAAGCCCAAAGAGGACAATATATGCCAGTGGTGCATGGGTTGTTACAGATGGTGTCAGAGCCAGACACCGTGCAGTGTGCTAGAGGACGTTGGGCCCCCAAGGGGGGTGGATTGTGAGATCTAATATTGGTTGAAGAGGGAAACGGAGCATTCCTTATAAGGGTGTGGAAACCTCCTTCTAGTAGATGCATTTTAAAACTTTAAGGAGAATCCCAAAAGGAAAAGCCCAAAGAGGACAATATATGCTAGTGGTGGGCTTGAGCTAGTACAAATGGTGTTAGAGCCAGACACCGTGCGATGTGCTAGAGGACGTTGGGTCCCCAAGGGGGGTGAATTGTGAGATCTTATATTGGTTGGAAAGGGGAACAGAACATTCCTTATAAGGGTGTGGAAACTTTTTTCTAGTAGCCGCGTTTTAAAACCTTGAGGAGAATCCCAAAAGGGAAAGCCCAAAGAGGACAATATATGCTAGCAGTGGGCTTGGGCTGTTACAAATGGTGTCAAAGCTAGACACCGTGCGGTGTGCTAGAGGATGTTGGGCACCCAAGGGGGGTGGGATTGTGAGATCTCATATTGGTTGGAGAGGGGAATAGAGCATTCCTTATAAGTGTGTGTAAACCCCTTTTTAATACACGCGTTTTAAAACCTTGAGGAGAATCCCAAAAGGGAAAGCTCAAAGAGGACAATATTTGCTAGCGGTAGGCTTAGGTTGTTACAAATGGTATCAAAGCCAGACACCAGGCGATGTGCCAGAAAGGAAGCTGGGCCCCTAAGAGGGTAGATTGTGAGATCCCACATTGGTTGGAGAGGGGAGCGAAACATTCCTTATAAGGGTGTGGAAACATTCCTTCAGGTTCAATCACTTAGCCACCCATATGGAACAGAAGCATCATTGCAGAGGGACAATTCGAGTACTGGTTCAAGGAACGGTCAAGGGTAACTTCGAGTCTCCGTGATAATATTTTATATGATCAAGAAAATATTCATCCACTCGAAACATTTTCGATTCGAAAACACTCGATATCTCACATATTTTACGTATGGAATCCCAGTTTCAAAGGCCATGATATGCTTGCACCTTTCACAGCTGGTTGGCAGGCTGCTGATTTGAATCCTTTGGTCATAGCAAAATCTAAGGTATTATAGACTGCTGATTGAATCCTCTTTTGAACGAACATTTTCTCGTTTCTTCTTTTTCATCGTCGTTTTTTTTCTCTAAAAACTGGCAATCCCATGAGGACCTTCCGTCCCCACGTGATAATATTTGTCGTGGTGATTATCATGGCTACAGGGTTCCTATGTTTACAACGTTAACGGGAAGAAATATCTCGACTCGCTTGCTGGTTTATGGTGCACATCCTTAGATATTCTTACTGCTCCCGATCTTATATAATGGCTTTTCGTGTCTAGCTTCGTATATTAAGTCTTACGAGTCGTGTATGAATACTGAATATCTGCAGGGGGAAGCGAGCCTCGGCTTGTTGCTGCAGCGATGGCACAGTTGAATACATTGCCATTTTACCATTCCTTTTGGAATCGCACAACAAAACCGTCTTTGGTATTGTATTCCTTTCTTAGTATAAAGCTACTTAAAATTCTTATCATTACATGTTATGACATGAAAGTTCACTTAAAAAGAAACCAAACACAGTTTCGAATGAATTAATGTAACAGCCCAAGCCTACAGCTAGCAGATATTGTCCGCTTTAGCCCATTACATAACGCTATTAGCCTCAGATTTTAAAACGTGTCTACTAGAGAGAGGTTTCCACCCCCTTATAAGAAAAGTTTTGTTTCCCTCTCCAACCGATGTGGGATCTCACAATCCACCTATCTTGGGGGCTAACGTCTTCGCTGGCACATTGCCTGGTGTCTGGTTCTGATATCATTTGTAACAGTTCAAGCCCACTGCTAGTAGTCATTGCTCTCTTTGGCCTGTTACTTATAGCCGTCAACCTCACAGTTCTAAAAAATACAAAACTGTGAGGCCGATGGCGATACGTAATGGGCTAAAGCGAACAATAGCTGGAAAACTACAAAACTTGATATGTCTGAAGTTTAACGATAACTGATGCAACTACTATTGCACTAAAACCAAATGTATTTGTTGCAAACTCGACATAACAATATTGTAAAAACTTCATGATTTTACCTTTACCAAAACAATTCCCGACCACTTTCCCACCTTAATATTAAGGAAGCTCACCCCAAGTTGGTTCATGGCCCGAACCCCTCTTTCCTCAAATTAATGTCGAGTCTAAAGGAATATTGTTATGTTGCCTCAAAGTAACCCTAATCAACTAGCACTATTTTGATGGTAGTTTCCACCGCCTGACCAGGGTCGAGCCCCGTAACTTCGGGAGAACGGGTGACATGATTCATTGAGATTCATTTATCAAAGAGATGTCGAAAATGCAGGAGCGTAATCTTGTTCTGTTTATCTTGCTGTCTGCTGCAGGATCTAGCAAAAGAAATACTGGAAATTTTTACTGCAAGGAAAATGGCGAAGGTGTTCTTTTCAAACAGTGGATCAGAAGCAAATGATACTCAGGTGCCTTTTTTGCACCTTTACTCTACGTTGTTACCATGAAAATTTTATTACCTTTTATCGAGCTACTGAAGGAAAAGAGATCAGGTAAATACGAAACCTTAAACTACGGTCATTCAGTGTCAAGTTGAACTGAATGTAATTTTTCTAGTGTGGGCGGGCCACTTGGTAACTAGGAGAGTCTCTTCATCTTCATAGCTGGGATGCTTCGAGCTTCTGGGCCTCAGAAACCAGAATCGAATCTCGTGACTCGAGTATAAGGTGAATCCGCTAGCACGTCCCTGTAAAATCTTACCCAATTCTTGCCACTCCTGCACAAACCTTAGCTCGTTTCTTACCTAACCGGTGGCGTACGAGAGAGGGGAGCCTAAATACCGTGCCCCCATACTGGTATGAACCGTTCTTGCCTTTGGTAATATTTGGTTGATGGTCTGCTTTACATGGGCCCCTTTTTTCATACTTCTGTTATTCGACTTATGTCAGAGAAAGATATTATGACCTTAGGAGGTGATTATAGTTGTTTTTGGACGCCCCAATCCACCCCCTTTTAGGGCCAGCGTCCTTGCTGGCACACCCACTCGTGTCGACCCCCCTTTGAGGCTCAGCCTCTTCGCTGGCAAATTGTCCGTTGTCTGGCTCTAATACCATTTGTAACGGCTCAAGCCCACCGCTAGCAAATATTGTCATCTTTGAGCTTTCCCTTTCGGGTTTCCCCTCAAGGTTTTTAAAACGCGTCTGCTAGGAAGAGGTTTCCATACCTTTATAAAGAATGCTTCGTTCTCTTCCCCTCAGTTGCATACGTATAAAATCAAATGAATAACATTATTTTCTAACTCATGTAGGTAAAACTGGTTTGGTATTATAATAACGCACTCGGGTGACCGAACAAGAAGAAAATCATCGCTCGTTCAAAATCGTAAGTATGTCCGTTATCCACGCTCTTTTCAAACGCGCTCTACTCATTGTACTCATCCAAGTCTTTGCTATCTTTGCAATCTTAGGTACCATGGTTCCACATTGATATCAGCTAGTCTTTCAGGGTATGCCAATAACAAAAGATAGCTACTAAGACTAAGAAAGCTTTAATAACTTGCTTGACCAAACTCTGTTAACTTGGCAAATCTTATTCTAGTCTTCCAGCATTGCATCAGAAATTTGATCTTCCTGCTCCGTTTGTACTGCACACGGACTGTCCTCATTACTGGCGTTATCGTCTTCCTGGTAGTACCGAACTGCGGTATTTTGTTAGACGTGTTGTTACACGGTTGATATTATTGCTCTTACAATGCTAAATATGACAGTGATGTGCCAGGTGAAACCGAGGAAGAGTTCTCGTCGAGATTAGCTAAGAATTTAGAGAGTCTTATTCTTGCGGAAGGACCCGAGACGGTGATGTCACTGAAGTTAACTAGAGTTCGAATATTTGACGTCTGCTGATAATCTTTAGTGTTTCTAACCTTTGGTTCTTTTAGATTGCTGCCTTCATTGCTGAACCTGTCATGGGAGCAGGTGGTGTGATACTTCCTCCTGCAACTTTTTTTGATAAAGTAAGCTGCCACTTTCTTTACAAGTTGTTGTTTAAATGCATAATCATGAGTGCTTCTAGAGTTTCATTTCTTCAAAAATAAAATAATAAGGGTGTGAAAACCTCTCCCTAATAGACGTGTTTTAAAACCGTGAGGTTGAAAGCGATACGTAACGGGCCAAAGCGGACAATATCTGCTAGCGGTGGAGTTGGGCTGTTACAAATGGTATTAGAGCCAGACACCGGGCAATATGGTGTACCAAGGAGGACGCTGGCCCCTATGTGGGTGGATTGTGAGATCCTACATTTGTTGGAGAGGGAAACGAAGTATTTCTTATAAGGGTGTGGACACCTCTCCCTAGTAGACGCGTTTTAAAACCGTGAGGCTGACGACGATACTTAAAGGGCCAAAGTGGACAATATCTGTTAGTAGTGAGTTTGGGTTGTTACAAATGGTATAAGAGCTAGACACCGGGCGGTGTAGTGTGCCAACAAGGACGTTGGCCCTCAAGGGGATGGATTGTGAGATCTCACATGGTTGGAGAGGAGAACGAAATATTTCTGGTAAGAGTGTGGAAATCTCTCTCTATTAGACATGTTTTAAAACCGTGAGGTTGACAACGATACCTAAGAGGCCAAAACAGATAATATCTACTGGCGGTTGGCTGTTGCAAAAAGGTTGAAAATTATTGAATGATTTCTAATTTCATGAGCAGGTCCAAGCTGTGCTGAAGAAATATGACATTCTTTTCATTGCAGATGAGGTAATGCTATATTACTAGCTGCCTTCATACCTTTTCACTTCTCTTACCCAATGCCCTATAAGCTCTTCCCTGCCATAGGTTATTTGTGGTTTCGGTAGGCTCGGGGCGATGTTTGGATGCGATAAGTACGATATTAAGCCAGACTTGGTATCGACAGCTAAGGTGAAGTCGGGCTATTTCCGAGATTCAACACAGCTCGTTTAGAGCCTGAAAAAAACATATTTCTTTATAATCCTTATTTTTGCAGGCTCTTTCTTCTGCATATATGCCTATTGGTGCTGTCATTGTCAGCCCTGAAGTCTCAGATGTCATATACTCTCAAAGCAACAAGCTTGGTAAGTTAGTCATGGGTCAACAGAAAATATCCTCGTAACGACGAATTGATCGTCTGTTCATTCAGGTACTTTTTCCCATGGATTCACATATTCTGGACATCCTGTTGCTTGTGCTGTGGCAATTGAAACACTGAAGATCTACAGGTATGAAGATTTTGCTAGTCCTCCCCGATTATGAATGACTAACTGTGAGATCCCACATCAATTGGAGAGAGAAACGAGTATCAGTGAGGACTCAGGCCCCTAAGGGGATGGATTGTAAGATCCAACCTTGGTTGGAGAGGGAAACAAGTGCCAATGAGGACGCTGGCCCCGAGGGGGTGGATTGTGAGATCCCACCTCGGTTGGAGAGGGGAATAAAACATTCTTTATAAGAGTGTGAAAACCTCTCCTTAGTAGACACGTTTTAAAACTTTGAGAGAAAGTTAAAAAAGGACAATATCTGCTAACGGTAGGCTTGGGCTGTTAAACTAACTATACTAAACATTTTGGTGTTCTATGTTGTGCAATGTGTTTTTCTTCATAGAGAGAGAAAGATCATCGAGCAAGTAAAGAACATTGCCCCGAGGTTTCAAGATGGTGTAAAAGCCTTCTCTAACCGTCCCATCATAGGAGAGGTATAGTTCGAACAATCATTTCTTTCTCGTGGCTACAAAACGTTTGCTTGTGTCAGCTCGTTTGGTCTATCTTTTTGCAGATAAGAGGGACGGGATTGGTTTTAGGCACAGAATTTACGGATAACAAATCACCCAACAATCCATTTCCTCCTGAATGGGGTATGTAAGTTGTGTTGTGAAAAGTTTCCATCAATATTGGAATCATATTGTTAAAAAGTGTTCGAATGTGATGTATAGGGATAGGTGCATATTTTGGAGCAATGTATGAGAAGAGCATGGAATGTTAATACGCGTAGCCGGGGATAGCATAATGATGAGTCCTCCCTTCATGATCTCACCTGAAGAAGTTGATGAGGTACACCATACACATTCTTACGTTCTTACATTCTTCCATTGGAGTTGTGACAAACACAAACTAATGAGGGCAATGCAGTTTGAAATGAAGGAATGGGTTAAGCTTAGAGATATCTACCAAGCGGGAGCGGAGATAGGGACTTTCCCTTCACATTTATTTTTATAGGGGTCGAGGTGGGGATTTTCCACAGACAATTTCCGGGAATAGGGTTCTATGCGGGAAATTTTTTCCCATCTTTATATATATATAATTTCAATTAAAAAAATATAAAACATCATATTAAATTCAGTTCAATAATATTTTATAAGCAAAAATATAATATAATGTTCTAACTTGGCTCGATTTAGTAAATAGGAAAAAAGGAAAAAAATCACCTGTCTCCCAGATTTCTCAGTCAGTTTGAGGTGGGTCCTTTTAGAATCAGACCCCGTAAATGAACATATTTAGTTAGATGTGATCCAAATTTGTTGTTTTTAGAATAATAGCGCTTCTAAGTGAATATAATTGAGTGTAATATGAAACTTGAGTGCTCTAATCCTGAAAATGGTATCATTTGCAGCTTACAAGCATCTATGGGAAAGCATTGAAGGATACTGAAGAAAGGGTGAAGAAACTCAAATCTCCGAGCAGAGTAGTTCAACCGACCTAGCCTAATCGATAATGTGGAAAAGCTTGTTTACTCCAATTGTTTGAGAATAAGGAAAACAGAAGAAATCATATTGGAGTGTGTAAATTATCACGGCTTTAATCATATTGGAGTGTGTAGATTATCATATTGAAGTGTTTTGAACCTTCATAACTTATATAATACCCTTAAACTTCTTTGAAGGTTCAAAAATATATCAAAATCATTACAAATACATAACTTTGATTCATAGATCACCACAATAACTCTTTCCTTAGAAATCATCCCTGTTTCTTTCTTCAAATCAGAAAAACCATGGTTTCCGATCCCCAATGAACTCTTAAAAGCAGTTCTAAAAAACTTGCGTGTCATTTGGAAATGGTTAAGAGATGCTTTATTTTAAAATAATTTTGTTTAGATGGAAAATAATTTCAGAACTTCTAAAGAACAATTTCGCAAATTGTAAGGAATTGAAAAACAACCAACCTCAAAAGGCGATCCCAATCTAAGAAAATCAAACAATCCTTCTGATCGCAGAAGAAAAACAAAGAAAATTCAGCCCAATAGCCACCCTGAACACAAACAAGTAGATAATGGAGGAGGAATCTGTAGTTGATATAAAATAACACATGAATACCACAAAGTGAAAGCATTGGGAAGGAATTTACCCAGTTGCACTTGTATGTGTGATCAGCAATGCCATTTGATCATATAGAGATCCTATTGCGTTCATCGAGAATCAGAAATTGAAATTGTATCCAAATGTGAGGCGTTTAAAAGAGATCGAACGATTCAGATCATTCAATTAGATTCTTCCTCGTTCCACCCATTTAGGGCTAAGAGAAGATCAACAAAAATTTAGTATCATCGCACCAAACAATGGATGATTCATAATTTAAAATGTACCTTCAAAATTCAAAACAAGATGAAAGAAAAACCTCCAAATCCTCGAAACAATTTCCTCAGAACCTAAGCTTGGTAAAAAACCACCTGTTCTTCCCAGTCTTAAACCTGTCCTCCAACCTCTTCTTGATCTCCTTCGCAGCCGCAACCTTCGAGCCCTTCGACTGCAAACAATCCGCATTGACCACATCCTTTAGATCGACGTCGAGCGTGTACCTTGTCGGCATTATGTGCTGGTAGTTCACAAGCTTGATGAAAGCCTTCACTCTCGATTTCTTCGCCGTCTTCTTCGTCGAATCTTTACGAATTACTTTGCTTGGGTACTTCTTCATCCCTGCAACCAAACAATGGCCATAGGGCCGATCGCGGGTTCCGTCATCGAAGTTTCGGACGATCACAGCCTTACGGCCGGCGAATCGGCCTTGGAGAACAATAACTGCCTTGTTCGGCTTTATAAATTTCACCATTATAAACTCGATTTGAGCTTCGATTAACCTGTAGACGACGATGAGATCATAAACCCTAGACTCGGTTAGCAGAGCAGCTTATTTATACGCGGCACAACTGAAACCCTATTTATATTTGAATCTGGGCCTTAAATGAAGACATTCACTATTGGGCTTTTTATAGATTGTGTATAATTGGGCCGTATTGGGCTCACTTGTTAACTGGGCTTAATTGGGCCCATGAATATTTTTGCACCATTGAATTGAAAAATATTAGAAGATTTTAGATATTACAAAACAAACAAATTACATCTAAACATAATAAATTATTTTTAAATGGATTTACTTCCTAGGCAAGGAAGAAAGGATGAGTCCTTTTTCCTTCTCCCAAACCAAAGGAGCGTCGGGAGCATAGAGGAGCAAAGTTCACTTTCCCTTCACGGTAAAGTGACATAGAAAAAAGGGTTGGCCCGTCAAAAGTCCGACTACTCTGTGGTTTGGTATCCATATTCATTCAGGGAGGAGTCAGTTCGAAAGTTAGTCCCCTCACGAGCATAAACAAAACGAGCATCGTACGATTAGCCATACACATGGGAAGAGAGGTCTCCAAAGTCTCTCGGCTCTTCCAAGAATTTTTTTCCTTTTCTCCCATTTTTAATAACTTAATTTTCTCGATTTCGTTCGGTTTTCACCTACTTTTGACCTCGAGAAACCGAAGAGTTGAAGAGGTTTGTAATCTATTAATAATTACGTTTGCAAAATTATAACCTAATGGAAGCTCGACTACAACCATTCATGCGACATGCGGGCCAATCAGCAATTTTTTATTAAAAAATAATTAATTTATACACCTAAATCTTATAAAAAATGCATCGATTAAAATTTTAAACTAATAATTATATTAGGTTGACCTTCACTCTTTTATTTATAATATAATATATATGTTTTAAAACATCATATTTACTTAATTTAATATTGTTAATATGATTAAAAAAAAAAAACACACGTTTTTTTAGTGGATTCTTGTGACAAAAGAAAAAACCTTCGACAAAATTTGTATTTTCTCTTATAATAAATTATTAATTAAAAAATACATATATTTAAAGCTATAAATCATATAAAAAAACATTATATTTAAGTTAATGCGTTTTATTATTTTATTATTATTGTTTAAAGATTAATTGTTCGACCCCAACTGTTTAACCAACAATAAATCCACGTCCACAAGTGAATGCTTATTCTCTCTAATTGTATTCCATTTGGGATTATTTATTATTAATTAATTTATCATTATTTATATATTTGAACTTTAGGATAAAATTAATTTATTACATACATTGAGACTTTATTATAAAAGAGGAAATATGAGTAACCAAAGTTAAATGATGAAGTAAAATTTTAATAAGGCTAGCTTTGTTTTAAAAATATTTTTGAATTTTCGATAACATTTTAAAAAATATCAGTGAAATTATAAAAATATTAATAACAATCTAATATTTATTTTTAAAAAAATTATTATTTCTGAACATCTCTTTTTTATTTTTAGTTGGAAGATAATTATATTATTTTTAAAAGTTCATGAACATTTTTTTAAAATATCAAATCCACCCTCCTTTAGGGTCAACGTCTACTGGCACACTGTCTCGTGTTTACTCCTTCGAAAAAAAGCGAGAAGGTTGGCTGCCATCGTATAGTGTCTGGCTCTAATACCATTATTTGTAATAACCTAGATCTATTGTTAGCAGATATTGTTATTTTTGGGTTTTTCTTTACTTGCCCTGCTTTAAAACGCGTATGCTAGGAGAAGATTTCCGCACCGTGTTTTGTTTTCCTCTCTCACTAATTTTTTAAATTAAAAGCTATTAAAAAAAATGTAAATGGTTTTTAAAATTTAAAAGTATTGATATTTTTTAAAATTAAAATATATTTTTAAAGGTATTTTTTATGTTTTTTTTTAATATATATATATTTTTTTTACAAAATAATTTAGGGTAGTAATTCAAATAATAATAATTATAAATAAATAAATAAAATAAAATAAAACTAAAAGAATAAAAAGAAAATGATATGCTCAGACAAAGTGAATATAGTTTCATAATCTTCAACACCCAATTTATTATTACAACTAATAATCCAAAAGTTCACCAAAAAAAATTAAAATTAAAACTAAAATTAAAAACTGGACTTGAGAGCCATCACATCCTTGAGAATTTGTTGTCCTTCACCGACTAGAAGCATGTTTCCAATGCACAGCAACAGCACAACCCCGCACAACTGCATTCCATAATATATCCTTTTATTTTATTTAAAAAAAAAAATTATATATATATATATATATATCCAATATTTTTTTTTATCAATATTTTTTTCTTTTTCATAAAATAAAATATATCGCTTAAAAAATTGATAAGGGATCAAAATTCTCGATTAGCGAGTAAGACAACACATAAATCTCAAATTTCATATAATAAAGTATTTAAATTAGGTTGGTTCAAATCGTTCGATTATTTATTCAAATTTGTTTGTAGACGTGGTATTAACGATTTTATATATTATTAATAAACTAAATTAATAAAAATACTTAAAAATTTTATATTTCCTATATTTTTATTGTTAGTGGTTTAAAATATACCCCTAACACTTTAAAATATTTCATTTATATACTCCAAGTTTTTAGAGAAATTTAAAAATATTTTTATAGTTAATAATATATTTAAAAAATATCTTGAAAATTTTTAAATAGTGTTATATTTAAAAGTTCATTAATATTTTTTTAACTTTTATTTTAAAAATTTTAAAGATATACTTTTAAATACTTTTTTATTTATTTAAAAAGTTTAATAATATTTTTTAAATAGATTATATTTAAAATTAATGAATATTTTTTTAATTTTTTTCAAAAATTTTTTAGATTTTTTTTTAAAATTTAAGGATATTATTAAAATTTTATAAGTTTACCCAAAAATTTTAAAATATTTTTATTAATTTAGTTAGGTTAATATGTAAAACGTCTAAGTTATCTATTTTCAAAACATTAAATTAATATTTTATCAATTTTAATATATATTTTGAAACATTATATTTCAAATTTTAAAATTTTAAAATTTTTAAGAGTGGGATAAATAAATAAATGAATAAATAAAGAAATATCAATAAATTTATATTATTTTCAATTCATAAATTTTTTATTTATATGAATTTAATTAAAATATGCAATAAAAATAGTATTTATTAAATTAGGAGAGTGGGGTTTAGATGAAGGAAAATTACCAGCCTTCCAAACAGCCCTCGGCCATGCCTCTAGACTTAGTCACAGCCGGAGCAGGAACAGGAGCAGGTGGAGAGACGTCTCCGCCGTATCTTACCGGATACCCCGCCGGCGGCGGAGCTGCATAACAGGGTGGCGCGGTGGAGGGTGGAGGATAAACTTCTACACAAACCAAAAAAATAAAATTATACATTAAAAAAATAAATAAATATATATATAATATGAAAGCGATCGATCACCTGCAGGCTGAGCGGAACTCATCTTGAGAAAATAAAAATTATATTAGAAAATAATTTACGTTTTAAGTTTGTTTGATACACTCTGTGGGTATGTGTGTGTATATATAGGGGAGAGAGATTTGGAGGGGGCGGAGAGAGTGGTGTGGGAGAGGGTCCGACTAGGGGCGGCGGTACCGCGTGAAGGGAAGAGAGAGTCTCGGAGAGAGAAGTTAGGACAGAGAAAGTATATTCTTCTTTCTATGTAGGGATATAGAGAGAGAAAGCTGGTAATTCTGTTGTCTTTTTTTTCTTTTTGGGCAAATATTTTTCTTTTGGATTTTTATTTTATTTATTTTAGTTAAATTTCAATTTTTGGTATTTAAGATCTATTTTTGTAATTTCAGCTCTTTTTTTCCTTATATATATTTTTTACAATAATTTTTTATAGAAAATAATTGGATTTTAATAATATTTTAAAGTATACAATAAAAATTGTGAAATCCCATATTAGGAGGAGAACGAAACACCATTTATATGGGTGTGGAAATCTTTACTAGCATGCGCGTTTTAAAGCTTTGAGGAGAAACCCGTAAGGGAAAGCCCAAAGAGTACAATATTTGCTAGCGATGGACTTGAGCCGTTACAAATGATATCAGAGTCAGACACCGAGCAATGTGCCAACGAGGAGGCTATTCCCCGAAGGGGGTAGCACAAGGCGCTGGACTAGTATGGACGCTGCACGCGGTGAACTTGGGCCATTACAAATGGTATTAGAGCTAGACACCGGGTGTTGTGCCTGCAAGGAGGCTATTCCCTGAAGGGTGTAGACATGAGGGCTATGCTAGTAAGGACGATGCGCGCAGTAAACTAGGGGCGTTACAAATGATATCAGAGCCAGACACTGGGGCGCTGTGCTAGTAAAGACGTTGTGCGCCGAAAACTTGGATCTTTACAATGGTATTAGAGTCAGACACCGGGCGCTGAGCCAACGAGGAGGTTGTTCCCCGAAGGGTGTAGACACGAGGCGTTGTGCCAGTAAGGACGCTGTGCGCGGTAAACTTGGGCCATTACAAATGGTATTAGAGCTAGACATTGGGCGTTGTGCCAACGAGGAGGCCATTCCTCAAAGGAGGTAGACACGAGGTGCTGTGCTAGTAAGCACGCTGTGCACGGTATACTTAGGCCGTTACAAATGATATCAGAGCAAGACATCGGGCGCTGCGCCCCGAAAGGGGTGGATTTAGTGGGGATCCCACAGCGATTGGAGCAAAGAACGAGTGCGAACGAAGATGCTGGATCCTAAAGATGGTAGATTGTGATATCCCACATTGATGGGGGACAATTCTGTATAAATTTAATGTTTTTAAACTTTAAAAAAAAATTATTTTTAATGTACATGCAAACACAAAATTTAATATTATATTTAAAATATATTTATTAATTTTAAAAATAGAGTTTAAAGATCTCTTAATTATTTTTAAAGTTCAGAAGATATTAGAAGTAATCTATTTTTTTTTTTAATTTTTATATTTTTAGAAAATAGTCATTTTATAAATTAAAAAAAAAAAAACAATAATTTTTGTTTCATTTGTAATTGGTTTTACATCAAATCTGTGTTCTATCGTTCTTGCCAAAACTATACAAACCTTTAATTGGAAGGTTAGGATGTCAACATGTTTTCGAATCTTTTCAGTTTTTTTTTTATTTTTTATTTTTTCCTATTAAAAATATAATTCATCCCGAGCTCCAAGAGACCAAGGAGCAAAACGGATTGAAACGTACTCGAGTCTTAAATAAGCTAGACAAGTAGATCCCGACATTCAAAAAGAGCACTTACTTAAAATTCGAAAAAATGAAAAACTCAAAAAGTAGAGGATATGACAGAAACAAAATCCCGTACCAAAAAACTGAATGAAAAGTTAATTTTGAAAGGGATCCGAGCACAACCAACAAAATAGTCCAAGTCAAATAAATTTGAACGAGGGGCTTAATCTCGATATACTTGACAATACTGTCTATCTAACGTTGAACCCGAGGATTTAACAGATGACTTAAAAATCCTTTCAGGGCAAGCAATCGAATATAGTTGACCTGATAATACTGCTTGTCTGAGGTTGAGACCCGAAATTTTACTGTGGGCTTAAATATTTCTTCTCAGGCAAGCAATCAAATAACTAGATATGGTATAAAATCGATTAGATTTTGAAAACTATAACGTTTATGACCATAACTTAACCAAGATTTGGTTAGGTTAACTAAACCATGGTTTGGTTAACCGTTTTGTAAACCAACATTTATAAGGAGGAATTTCTTTATATTTTATTTTTTATTATGATTATCAATAATTTAAAAATAAATTATTTATATATAAAGTAATAGTTACTAATTTATTTTTACAAACTATTATTATATTGTAAAATTTTAGGGCAAACATTTAATTTATGCATTTTCGAGACACGTGTAATTTACATACGTACACATATATATAAGAGAGTTATCTGATTTAGCGGGGTTTTTTTTTTTTTTTCTTCTCAGTCGCATTTTCTTCAAGCTTAAGCTTGATCTAGTAGTGTGATTGGGTGCCGGGAAAGATCGAACAGAAACTGGAGCATTGGATTTTTCCGCTTTGCGTTGCTGAATTTATGCTTAAGGATTAGTCGAGGTTTTGATCATTGAGTTTTGCTATAACTCATTGATTTTCTTAGCTGTACATCTACTCGATCTTGCTTGGATTTCTTCCGATTACAATTTCAGGTATTGTGTAGTAAAACTCGGTTGATGTTTTTATGATTTTGTGTATTACCTAGTTTTAATTATTGTCGTAGCCTGCTCTGGTTGGTGAGAAGATTTTGTCGTATTTTAGAATAGCAAATTTTGTGGTGCATTCGATTTACTGTCAATGGAGTGATGACTGATGAAAGAATTTAAGGTGCGGTTTCTCCTTAGATCTACGTCAATGTTTTTTAGAGTCCAAAGGCGACGGCACTAATCGATATGTATCTGATTGGGCTCAATTGATAATCCAGGACATATCTTCAATATAGGTCTTTGATGCTTAAGAAGTGAAGTTTGATTTCCAGATTTCCTTCCAAATTGATTCTCAGCAAAAATGCTTTCAAGTATTGGCATCTGTTTGAAGCAACAATTCTTAAGCCGTTTCTTCAATTTGTGATATTATGATATTACTGGACTAGAATCATCTGGATCACTGCGGTCTTGGCCAGTTGCCATTTTTGATAGATTTGGGAAGTTAGAAATTTAACTGTAGGAAGGGAGATAGATGAAGCCTGAAACTTGGAAATGTCTTTGTTCTTCCAATACTGAATAATTTTGTTATTCCGGCCCTCCCTTTCTTGGCAATGTGGAGAGCCAAGGGTGGAGCGAAGTTGGAACATTGCTCTCCTCTTCGTTCGTCTTGGGTTTAAAAAGTTCATAAAAACGTTTAAAGTTTTCTCAATGCTTTGTCCTTCAACTTCTTAAACTGAAAGATTCTATATATGAAAAGTTGAAGTGCCAAAATTTTGCCCTTCCTCGTGGAGGCCTTCTAATCAAATATCTTTATCTAATAGGATTAAATCTCCAGCCCCCTATTTCTTGTGCAAAGAAAAGAAAAGCTATTATTTATTTATTTTCTTACTAGACGAGGGTTAACTAACTTATATTGAGCTTGGATAAGTTAGTTTTTTGTGACATGAATCATATCTATAATCCACATTTTTTGATGTTCTGTAGCAAGGCTTTCAAGGTAATATGACTGAAAACTACAGCAATGTAAGTGTAAGCTCAAGCTCAAGTTTGAGTAGTAGCATCTTGGCGGAGGAAGAAAACTTGAAGTTTGATAACAAGCTTGGGAAGAGGCTCTCACATCTGGATTCCATCCGTGTAATAACTTCTTTTACTTCATTAATTGGATCACTTACTCTTTTTATGTATGCTGTGAATGCAAGGTTTTATTGAATTTTGTGACCCTTTAAATTCTCTTTGATAAAAATTATATATAAAAATAAATAACTGCGAATGTAAGTTTTAGTTGAACTGTTATTGAACATGAAAGCTGCTAGGTCACTGAATGTAGTACTCAAGACTTGTGTTTTTTTCAAACAAAAAGAACAAAAATTACAACTTCATTGGTAGTATGAAATCCCACTCTCACACACACACAAACACAAAAAAGAAAAAACGTCTTTCAAATGGCATAAGAAACATGATATTCACACCACAAAAAAGCTACAAAAATGGCCTAGTCCATAAAACTTGAGACTTGTCTTTCTTGTAAGAATCCATTGTTTTTCTCAAGTCACAAGAGCAAAAGAAAGCTATCACAAATTGAAGCCATAGGATCTTCATATCTCTCTTAAAATCATGGCGTTCAAGGAATAAGGGGATGGGGTTGTTGATGTTGACGGGGGAGAGCCAACCACCGCCTTTAACTATAAACTGTGGTGCAAATAATTCTAGAAATTTCCAGCCAGGGAACAAGTGTTGGAAAGATGTCCTTGGGATTCCAAGTCCATTTTACTCAATGAGAACCATCCTGAGGAGATGGAGCAAAATGGAACCTTCTTTTGAGTAAGGTCTTGAGTATTTAGTATTTGTATGGGAATTAAGACTCGTGCATTGTTATTGATAGCTTTTCATGGTCTTTTCCATTAGAGGAAATCCCACATTTTGGTCGAGCTCTTTGAGGTTCTCTCTATTCTCAAGTATAGGATCATCATTAGGCTTGGAATGGTGCCACTAGGATACCTGAGACTTCATTGTTGTGGTGTGACTGTGTACATAAGCGTTGCCACTTGTCTTGATATTATTACTGCTACTATTATTATTCTTTTAACATTGCAACCGTATGTTGGGCTGCAGAGCTTCTCCAGCTTTATAATTTGACTGCTGCTTCATTACTATGATACCACCAACATAAAATGCATGCGCCTGAACTTGTGTATTTATTTATCCCCACCATCAATCTATAATGAAAAAAGATCTGTCCATATCTTTCTGAAATATGCAAAGTTCTGGAACGTTATCATTATTAAAAGAGCTGATTTATTATGATTATGGCAGCATACTCCTAGGGTTAATGGTGAGATACCAAACGTGACTGATGCAACCTTAGACCATGAACGGCTGT